GCTGCTGCTGCTGCTGCTGGTGCTGCTGCTGCTGCTGCTGCTGCTGCTGCTGCTGCTGCTGCTGCTGCTGATAGGGGGATTCGTTGATTCTAGATATGTGTGCATCTCCTGGGTCGAAGACATCGCAGCTAATAGAGATGCTGCATGCAGCAGCAGAAAGAGAAAGAAGAGAAAAACAAAAAAAAATAAAACAAATAAAACAAAAACAAATAAAACAAAAACAAATAAAACAAATAAATAATACACAACAACAAAAAGAAGAAGAAGAAGAAGATGAAGAGTTCCTTTGGCCTGCTCTCCCTAGTATGCAGGTTTATGCTGCTGCTGTTGCTGCTGCTGCTGCTGCTGCTGCTGTTGCTGCTGCTGGTGGTGCTGCTGTTGCTGCTGCGGTTGCTGCTGCTGCTGCTGCTGCTGTTGGTGTTGCTGCTGCTGCTGCTGCTGTTTCTGCTATTCTTTGCCTTCTTTTTGCTTTTGTTTTATTTTTTATTTTTTGTTTTATTTTTTATTTTTTGTTTTATTTTTTATTTTTTGTTTTCTTTTTTATTTTTTGTTTTCTTTTTTTGTTTTCCGTAGATAAATAATATGTGTCTACGCCTCCTTCATTTATTTATTTATTTATTTACTTATATTTATTTATTTATATTTATTTATTTATTTATTTATATTTATTTATTTATTTTTTTATTTTTTTTTGTTTTTTTTTGTTTTTTTTTAGCTGGAGCGGTTGTAGCAAACGACGCAGATGTTGGTCGATGCCACATGTAAGGAGCTGCCTATACACCTGAATTTATTTTTTTTATTTTTTTTTATTTTTTTTAATTTTTGTTTATTTTATTTTGTTTTATTTTATTTTTGTTTGTTTTATTTTTATTCTTGTTTATTTTACTTTATTTTTGTTTATTTTATTTTATTTTACTTTTTTTGTTTATTTTATTTTATTTTTATATTTATTTTTGGTTTGTTTTGTATTGAACAGATGTAGAGCCTCTTGTATATATATATGCATGATATGCCGATACACAACATTTAGGGTTTATTAGGGTTTAGGGTTTATTAGGGTTTAGGGTTTATTAGGGTTTAGGGTCTTTTAGGGTTTATTAGGGTTTAGGGTTTAGGGTTTTGGGGTGTACATGCATCTCCATTGCCCTTGTATTTTCTATAATCTTTTTTTATGTAAAATATAAAAATTTAATGAATTTATTAAGAGTGAATTAAGCTGAACTAGGGTTTAGGGTTTAGGGTTTATTAGGGTTTATTAGGGTTTATTAGGGTTTAGGGTTTATTAGGGTTTAGGGTTTTGGGGTGTATAGGCTGCTCCATCGGCTGCGGGGTTTATACTCTCCCTGTCTGCTGGTGACCTCTCACTGCGCTCAGTATTTTCCTTCTGTATTTGAAATACAAAAAACAAAAAAAAATAATTTAATTAATTTAAATAAAAAATATAAAAATAAAACACAAACAACACATGATGATGCTGCAGCAGAAACACAACCATCAACGCCACCATCACCAGCAGCAGCAGCAGCAACAGCAGCAGCAGCAGCAGCAACAGCAGCAGAAGCAGCAGCAGCAGCAACAGCAACAACAGCAGCACCAGCAGCAGCACCAGCAACAACAGCAGCAACAGCAGCAGAAACAGCAGCACCAGCAGCAGCACCAGCGGCAGCAGCAGCACCAGCAGCAGCAGCAGCAGCAGAAGAAGAAGAAGAAAATATAAATGAAATAAATAAAAATAAAAATAAAAAAATAAAAAAAGAAATAAAATATAATTTTGTTTTGTGTGATGTTCTCTGCTCTGGGGATGGGACTCTAAGAAAAAATAAAAAACTTTGGTTGCAGTGGAGTGTAAATGATAGTTTATATAAACATAATATACAAATACAGATACTATTAAGGTAATTTAAATAAAAATAAATAAATATAAATAAATATAAATATAAATAAATAAATATAAATATAAATATAAATAAAAAGAAAGTAAAACAGAAAAAAAAGAATAAAAATTGATGAAAATATAAAAAAATAAAAAAAAAAGTAAATGATAGTTTATATAAACATAATATACAACATTTATTTAAATAAAAATAAATAAATATAAATAAATATAAATATAAATAAATATAAATAAATATAAATTATTTATTTATTTATTTATTTATTAATCTACATATTTATATATTTATTTATTTATTTATTTATTTATTTATTTATTTATTTACATAAATTAATTAATTAATTAATTAATCTATATATTTATTTATATATTTATTTATTTATTTATATATTTATATATTTATATATTTATTTATTTATACATTTATATATTCATTTATCTATTTATCTATATATTCATATATTTATATATTTATTTACATATTTATTTATTTATATATTTATACATTTATCTATTTATATATTTATTTATTTATCTATATGTTTATTTATATATTTATATATTTATTTATATATTTATATATTTATATATTTATTTATATATTTATATATATATATATATTTATTTATTTATTTATTTATTTTTTTATGTATAGGGGTATAAAGTTATGTTGTGTTGGGGGCTTGATAGTGTACAGTACGTGTACTCTAAACCCTATAGAAAACGAAGCGGTGGTTTATGCAGCTATTGTAAGAAACCCTAAACCCTTATAAACCCTAAACCCTTATAAACCCTAAACCCTTATTAACCATAAACCCTAAACCCTTATTTATTCAGAAACACTAATTTATTCATACGCGCTAGTTTAGGGTTTAAGAAGGATGTTTAGGGTTTTTTTAGGGTTTTTTGGGGTTTTTTGGGGTTTAGTAGGGTTTATTAGGGTTTATTAGGGGTTTTTAGGGTTTAGGGTTTAGGGTTTAGGGTTTATTGTTTATTGTTTATCGTCTATTGTTTATTGTTTATTGTTTAGGGTTTAGGGTTAATAAGGGTTTAGGGTCTAGGGTTTAGGGTTTAGGGTTAAGGTTTAGGGTTTAGGGTTTAGGGTTTAGGGTTTAGGGTTTAGGGTTTAGGGTTTAGGGTTTAGGGTTTGTGTGCATGCAGAGTATATGTGAGGGTGCGGTGGTTTTGAAAGACTGCTCAGATAAACTCAAAACCCTCAAAAGAGAACCAGGCTTAAACACCTGTAAACCCTAAACCCTAAACCCTAAACCCTTATAAACCCTAAACCCTTATAAACCCTAAACCCTTGTTAACCCTAAACCCTAAACCCTAAACCCTAGATTTTAAACCCTTACTAACCCTAAACCCTAATTAATCCTAAACCTTAAACCCTAAACCCTAAACCCTAATTCTCCCTAAACCCTAAACCCTAATTAACTCTAAACCCTAAACCCTATTTTACCCTAAACCCTAAACCCTAAACCCTAAACCCTAAATTTTTGTGTGTGTATAGGGAAAGTGTATTACGATGGGGGTTATTATTCTTCGTATGCAGAGATAAAAGAAAAAGAAAAAGAAAAAGAAGAAAAAAACAAAAATAAAATAAATAAAATAAATAAAATAAATAAAAATAATAAAATAAATAAAATAAAAACCACCATGTTTCCCCCCCCAAAAGAAAACAACAAAAATTATTTTTTAAATAGATGCATGCGCTTCCTACCTCATCATAATAATACAGGTAAATATATAATTCTTGCTGCTGCTGCTGCTGCTGCTGCTGCTGCTGCTGCTGCTGCTGCTGCTGCTGCTGCTGCTGCTGGTGCTGCTGCTGCTGGTGCTGCTGGTGGTGGTGGTGGTGGTGCTGCTGCTGCTGTTGTTGCTGCTGCTGC